GTTTGTTTTAAGATATTTCTTTTATTTTTAAGTGCTCAGTTCTCGACTCCGTTCCCATTTGCCGGAGCTCGTAAACCTGGTGTGCTACAGATTTAGAGACGTTTGCCGTTGTATCTTTGGGGAAGTTACGCCTGAACCGTTAGCTGCCACACGGGGCGTATTCTTCTTGCGGAAAGAGTTTTACTCGCCTCGGCTAAAATCTTTCCGTTTTTTCAGTTGTAATTTATTTTTCAGTTCAATTGTAATTTTCTATTTTTAGATTATTTGTAAGAACTGAAAATACATATCAGTTCATAGGATTCCCGTGTAATTTCACACTAAATATCCAACAGAAAACACCCCCAAAGCGAAACAAAACGAAAAGAAAAAAGTTGGGGTATTTACGAAAATTTTGAAGAAAAAATATAAGGTATTACACAACCCATGCAGGAAGTGGAATATAATATAGTGAAAATGTGTGTAAAAAATGGGGCTTTGGCCTAATTCAAGGGTTAACATATTTGAACCAAACAGTATAATGGGTAGAAAATATTAGAAAATTGTTTGATATCACCCCTTATCACTCCAACAAATCACACCCTATGTGATACAATAATCATCTGCTAAATTTACAGCCAACATCTTTATCTTTTGTTTTGGAAAGGGGTTTGTTGTTTAAAGGCGAAATTTAAAATAATTAATCAGTGTCCAAGTAATGGTATGGAACCAAAAAATAACATAAAAATAAGAAACCGCTAGAAGGAGGGCTTGAACCTCCGACCTTGTGGTTAACAGCCACACGCTCTAACCAACTGAGCTATTCCAGCTTGTTGCCAAACTTTATATAATTTCATTACAATTAATTATCTTTGTTCTACTGATACTACAACATAACGTGAATTACAAGGATGCGAGCTAATTTTATTTTATTTTTTAAAAAAGATAGATAAGACTTTGTTTAAAATTTATAATTATTGTTTAAAAAATAAAATAGTATTTTCATTTAAAACAACTCCAGTAATTTGTACGAATTAATACTTTATATAAAATTTATTTTATTTATAAATAATTATAGTATGTCTAAATTATAATTAATAGACTTGTTTTAATGATGGGCCAACCTAGTATGTCTAAATTATAATTAATAGACTTGTTTTAATGATGGGCCAACCTGCAAGCTACACCACCCCACCCACCCACCCGCGCTAGCCTGTTTAGGCCTGCTTCACAATGGGCCTAAAAAATCTCGGCTCAACCCATCCCTTCGGTAGTGCAGGGCGAGCCAGCCCGTGGGCTTAAGCTCATTTTGACAGTTCTATAAATAACGTTCTATTTTGGGCATTGTGCGAAGGAGGAGAGGGATGGAGGGTGTACTAGACGATGGAGGTAGTGCCGCCTAGGTCAATTTTTAGAACACTGACTTTTACAAGTGTTCTTTTAACGAAAAAAAAAAAAAACATGTGAAAATGTTAGGGGAGATGAACATCACTCCAACGGGTGACCTGTGCCGTTGTAAAATACATTCAAACAGAAAACCATTATTAGATATTAGTAAAACGAACTGACAGGTCCAAAGGACAAGCACGCAAGAAAGAACGAACAAACGAACTTATATATTATCATATCAACACATTACCACTCAAATCTAACTAGAGTCTTGCAAAACAAGTAACAAAACGATGGGATTCTCTTAACTAGTGGTGTGCCACTAAGCATTTAACCAGCACCATTTTCTTTCTCTTCACCCACAGTGGAAGATGAGACCCCTTGAGATGTTGCACTAGTCAACACCTCACCCGGGGGTGGGTGGTCAAACTTGCATGTTGCTCCGAATTTGCAAGTCCCGGTCTTCATGTAATAAGGGCAGTGTATCGCACCCTACAAACATGATTACGATAATACTTGAATCTTTTACCACAAATACCCCAACGAAACGAATGTACATGTATATATTGACAAAAATGAGGCAGTTAAATTTTCTAAGAAAAAATTTTGCACATCAGATGAACCTATCAACCATCACAATTCTTTTTAACATCAGTGAATGGCCCTAGCTTGACGAAAAGAATAATTAGTAAATTAAGGGCTGGCTAACCGTGCGTTACGTTACAACTTACAGTGCTACATCACTGTATCTATAATTTCT